GAAAAATTCTAAAGGATGCCAGAGTGGACATCAGTGAAAGCCACACGAAGACCCACTCTCCTTTTTTACAAATAAACTATAAATTAGAAACAGAAATCATCATGCGTGGCTCTAACATTCAAATAAAGTAACATGTAGACTAACCCTATAACTTTGTTCCTTTGTAAATTTCTTGGGCAGCTCTTAGCTGTTGGTGATGTTTACTTCCTCCTTCGCTGCAACCCGGTAAAAGCATGGCATGGAGGGACTGCTACCCAAGGGTCGGTGTTGCTGGCCACCCCACAGCTCACAAAGCCATGCGCCATCTGCTGTGCAGTGGGGTTGTGGTGTACTCTCCCTCCTGCAGGCTCTAGGTTGTCATTGTCATCATCCAGGCTCATCTCATAAAATTCTTTGGAGAGAGGGAGGTGGGGATCTGAGCACAGTGCCAGCCTCCCCTGGTCCTGCCTGCCCACCCCGCCTGAGGGCTCTTCTCACCATCCTTGTCAGCAGCACCAAGCTCCTGGGGGGCTGGGGCCCCTGGAGTGGACTCATTAGCCGGGTGCTGGACCTCGTGGTCGATCATAAGCTGCATCACTGGCCCTTGCAGCTCCAGCAGCTTCACCTGGAGATAGGGGTGCTCAGCTGCCATGCCAGTGCCGGCACCCAGGCTCATGACCACCCCCATCCCCCTCACCCCTGTAGAGATGTTGTACACCTTACCTTCATCCCCTCCTCGGCCTTGGACAGCATACTAACATCATTCTTCTTCTGGTGCTGGGTCTTGGCCACTGCCCTCTGACGGTCATTTGGTTTGATGGACTTTCCTGCGGGAGGACAGGCTCAGACACTGGGTCCCCTCCCAGCACCCTGCAGCTCCCCCTGCCCTGCCCTGGCCTCCTGCTGACTTATCATGTCTCTCTCTCCAGAGAGCTGGATGAGTCCGAGTTCTAGTTTTTCCACCCGCTCCTTGAGGTCCGCATTCTCCTTCACAATGTCGATGAAGTCTCTCTGGAGCCAAAATAATGGGGTCACATCTCGGCAGCGACCTGTCCCTCCCCACCCTTCATGGTCCCTGCCAGGACTCACTCACTTGCAGCTTGTTGATGGCTTCCTGCAGGGCCCGCTGGGTCTCCCCACACCCACACTCACTCCCAGTTCCTGTGGCCGCGGCCGCTGCCTCTGGCTCCTTAAGGGCCAAGGCCACCAGGTGAGCGTGGTCCTGGCAGCACACCTGTTGTTTCTGGAGCTGCTCACAGAGCTGTGCCTGCTCCTTCTGGGCACCGGCTCCAGCAGGGTTCAGGGATGGTACCTGAAGGCAAGGGGGGAGCATTCTTGTAGGGGAATACACAGGGCAGACAGGGCAGGGAGGTGGAGTGCAGCCCCTTCCCTTGGGGCCTCAGAGAGTGCACCTGTCAGTCATGAAGGTGTCTGACCACTGGCTCCCTGAAGGGGTGAGGGTCCAAAGGAATCCGAAGGTGGGGAAACCAAGAGCATAAGGGGGTCTGGGAGGGACCACAGAGGAAGGTGGCCTGCCCACACGCCTGGCCCCTGGCTCCAGCCTAAGAGACTACCTCCCTTGCCTAGAACCCCATGCCTCCTACCCCAGCCTAAAGTCTCACGTCCTTCCTTCCACCATTTAAACTGTAGGTGACTGACTGGTGGAAAAGCAGAGGGAGCTGACCACCATCTGCCAAGTGTGCCACGCATCATCTCATTTAATCCTCAGCACCCATGCAAGGAAAATGCTAACTTCCTTTGGAAGTTAAAGAAACAGAGACTAGAGATGCAAAGTAGTCCAATGGTGACCA